GTGCCTTTGGGTTGGCAGTGCACCTCCTCCCCTCTAGGCCATCAGTCTCTAGAGGATCTGGGCATTTAAAAATGCTTTCAAGTGAGCCCCACCTAGTGGCAGCCCCCGTGTGTCTGAGTAGAACTGTGTTCTGGGCAGCACAGCAGCAACCATGTCTGAGTGGACTTGTCTTCTGCTTTTTTTTTTTTTTTTTTTAGCAACCAAGTGTTTATACCATCCAGGGACTCCCATGGGCAGAAAAGCATTGTGACATACGTTTCATCTTTTTTTTTTATTATTTTATTATTTTGTGTGTGTACCATCAAATCGGATCTGACTGGTACAGGAGGAGAATGCCCCTCCTTCTCCAGCAGAGCATCTGGTGGATTAGAACCGCGTACCTCTGGGATTGCAGTGCCACTAGGCTACCACGGCTCCCTGACATTCGTTTCATCTTTAAAATGCCTTTTTGGGTCTCGGTTTCCAGAGGATCTCTTTCATGTCTCGCTGTGAATCTCCCTTCACAGCAGAGAGCCTCCAAAGAACCCCAGAAGTACCCCACCTCCCTCCTGACACCCCCTGCTCTCAACGTGTCCCCTCGTGGACCTGCCCCCCTGAAGGCTGTCGTCCCCACAGAACGCGCTCCTGTCAACATCACTGCTCATGTCCACGTTGCAAGTAGGAGGCTAGCAAGCTCCGGTGCCCTAGTGCACAGGGAGTTGTTCTGTTTAATTTAAGGCCAGGCCTCTCTGTGGTTCACATCTGTCATAGCTCCTCAGGAGAAAGCTGGACCGTGTCCTCCTGTGTGATTTACCACCTGGGAAACCCGAATGTCAGCCATGGGCTGATTCCAGCTTGACAGCAATGAGTTGGAGTTGCATTGACATGAGTTGAGTTGAGTTGAGTTGAGTTGAGTTGAAGGTGGTCAGGTAGCCATGGCAACATAGTGGGTTTAATGCTAAATGAGAGGTCAGCAGTTCAAATCCACTGGTCACTCCGAGGAGGAAGATGAGGCACCCTTCTTTCGTAGAAACCCTAAGGCGGATTTTTGCCCAGTCCTGCAGGGTCAGGGTCTGGCACCGGATAGAGCAGGGTTCAGATCTGCTGTTCATAGAGTTGCTATGAGTCATACTCAATGGCACCTAACACCGCCACCAACAGGGTCACTGTGGGTCAGAATCAGCTCAGGGGGTGAAGATGGTCAGAGCTCCTGCATGGTGCAAACTGTCAGCTCCCTCAGCTGCTCACCGAAAGGTTCAAGTTCACCCAGAAGTGCCCCAGAAGAAAGGCCTGGTGGTCAGCTTTGAAAAACCTGCCACTGACCACCCCGTGGAGCACGGTTCTCTGTGCACCTGAGGACCTTGTGACTTGGGGTGGACACCACAGCACTCGGTGTGGTCTTCATCAGCGATCGGCCACAGGTCTCCTCCTCCGCTGACCCAGCGCCTTCTCCCCTCCTGGTGATGTTTGCTTCCCTCCTCTCCTCTGGGACGCAGGTGCTGCCCACTCTCCCAAATTCCGGCCACCAGAGGCCCCAAACCTCCATCTGTGACCATCCCATCTCTCCTCATATTCAGCGTCCTGGTCGGTGGTGACTTTAGGTGCCGTTGAGTTGACCCTGTGAAAAGATCAAACCCTTGGCGCTGTCCTGGATAGTTTCTCACACTCTCCACCATGGTTAAGCCCATTGTCACGGTCACTGTGTTGGTCCATCTCATTTAGGGTCTTCCTCTCCTTCCCTGGCCCCCTACCTTTCCCACCATAATGTCCTTTTCCAAGGACTGGCCCCCCCGAAGACATGCCCAAAATACGTGAGACTGAGTTTGTTCACCCAGCCTCTTGAGAGCGCCCTGGCTACGCTCCCTCCAAGGCTTCCTTTGTTTCATAGCGGTATGTTCAGTCGTCTTCATTAACACCACAATGCTAGGTCATCATTTCTCCTTCAGTCTTCCTTATTCCTTAGAGAGGGGCATCAAGCTTAGCAAAGTGGAGAGCCAGTGAAAGAGAGGAAGACCCCCAACCAGGTGGGCTGACACAGTGACTGCTGCAGTGGGCTGGAGTGTGTCTGAGACAGTGAGGACGGCTCAGGACAGGACAGGGTTCAGATCTGTCCTTCACAGGGTCCCTATGAGTCGTACTCGACTCAACAGCACCTAACAACAATGATAACTTACTGATTTGCACATGCATATAAAGCAGTTGGAAATATCATGTCCTGGGTGAGATGCACCTTAGTCTTTAAACTGACATCCTTGCACATTAGAACGTTAAAGAAGTCCTTGATAGGCCCTTAATTGCACCCACTAAACCCCATCTCAGTGCTGCTGATGCCCATATTTTTAGTGCAAGCCTTTCCTCTGATTACCGGGTTTGGCCAGAACTCTGCCTGCCAGTTGGACGGCATGACCAATGAGCTGCCCACCTACTAGCCTAGAAGGTGGTGGTTTTAACCGCCAGAGGTGCCTCAGAAGAAAGGCCTGGCAATCTGAAAGAAAAACAAACACACCCATTAGTAACCCACCAGAGCACAGTTCTCCCCCACACAGGTGCAGTCACCTTGAGTTGGCGTTGACAGCAGCTGTTTTTTGTTTGGGGTTTGGATTGTTTACTGTCTTATCGTTATTACTGTGAACAATTGGCTGAGTGAGTGAACGTATGAATGACCTAATCCAGGACTCTGCTCTCACCCATCTGCATGAAAAGATTCCAGAGAAGAAACAGTGGAGTAAGGATTTGACGGTTCCCTCGCTGCTGTTTACACCTGTCACAGGGGGACACACTATTCTCTGTGTCTCTTTGTGTGTGTGTGTGTCTTATTCTCTCTGTCCATCTCTCTGTGTGTGTTTCTGTTTCTCTGTCTCTCTCTGTGTGTCTTACTCTGTCAGTCTATGTGTGTGTATGTGTGTGTGTGTTTTTCTCTGTCTCTGTCTGTCTCTGTGTATGTGTGTCTTACTCTCTGTTGGTCTGTGTGTGTTTCTCCGTCTCTGTCTCTGTGTGTGTGTGTTTGTGTCTTACTCTTTCTGTCGGTCGGTGTTTGTATATGTGTGTGTCTGTCTGTCTGTCTATCTGTCTCTTTCTTTCTCTCTTTTTAATAGAAGGAGCCTTGGTGGCTCAGTACATAATGTCTCCATCTGCTAACTGAAAACTCGACAGTTCAAGTCCACCAGCCACACCATAGAAAATGCTGAGAGTCTCCTCCTGTAGAGATTTACAGGTTCAGAAAACCTATCAGTGCAGAGTCACCCTGAGCTGCACCCAACTCAACTGCAGTAGATTTGATTTGAAGTTTTTGTAACAGCATTTTTGCGTGGGAGCTGTAGGGAGCCCTGGTGACCTAGTGGTGAGGAGTTGCGCTGCCAACCCAAAGGCACACAATTCGAGTCCACCAGCTGCTTCCCAGGAGAAAGATGGACAGCCTCCTCCCGCGTGGAGAAACCTTGGTCAGCTGTGGGTCAGGTCCTCTATGGTACAGAACAGTGCCCTGCAGACCCCTCTGCAGACAGCAGGTGGCGCCAAAAGACTGGCAAACCTGCGCGTGGGGTGGGGTCCACCCAGCTGCACCATGTGGACGGCCGCCTTCTGAGGGCTGAGATGGTCAGGAATCCCCGGCTATCCCATCTCCGGCCTCCCCATCCCCCGGCCTCCCCATCCCCGGCCTCCCACTGGCTGCATATGAAGTCATTGAAGAGCAGGTGATGAGCTCCAAGCCTCAAATGTTTCTCCATCCTACAATCGTCCTGAGCGCAGCCCAGCTCCCGAATCAGCCCGCCTGCCCCTCCAGTTGTTGTGTGCCTTTGAGTCGGACCCCACCCATAGCTGACTCTCCAGTGGGTTTTCAGAGGCAGTAGATGACTTGGGAAGAGACTGCCGATCCTTCCACAGAGCAGATGATGGATTTGAACCGGGTGCCTTTGCAATTGCAGCACAGCTTCTTACCAACTAGGCCACCAGAGCCCATCCAGTAAGATTGCATTCTGTCTCCTGCAGCAAGGAGCACTCCCTGCGAGGGGGAGGGGTCTTTTCACCTGCAGATGCTGATACAGCCACGCCCCTTTTAGAGGTGGGCCTGAAGCTCAGCGTTCTTGCCAACCCCAGGGGCTGCTGGTGTTGGTCCTAGAGCGCGCTGAGTAGCCCCACTCCCGGCTGTCCTTACCTCCCTCCCTCCTGTTCCTAGAGGACCAGCTCCTGCCTTTCCTTCTGTATCTGATGATGTCAACACTCCCTGCACTCCCCCCACCCCTCCCCAAATGAGCCAGTTGTCCTGACCCCTAGTGACAGGGTAGCAGGGCCCCCCCCCAGGGCTGCCAAGGCTCTGAATCTTTGCAGAAGCGACTGCCACAGCCTTCTCCCACAGGGCAGCGGGTGGCCTTGATCCACTGACCTTCCTGTTAGCAGTGTGAACCACTGCACCACCAGACCTCTTTGCCGCTGGGAAGCTCTGTGTCTTATCGGGCTTAGAATCTAGCAGTGTAGTCTCATAGCTGTGGAAGAAGGTTCTGGAGAACTTCCTAGATGACCTTGAAATATATGAGCCAAGGGTCATAAACCCTCTCCTGTGGACTTGACCCTGATTCCTAGTGACCCTCAGATTCCCAAGGCTGCAGGTCTTTATGGGAGCAGACAGTCCATCCCACAGAGCAGCTGGTGGATTTGAACCACTGACCTTTCTGTTACCTGTGACGTGTAATACACAACGCCACCAGCGCTCTTTAATGGACATAGTCAGTTCACCCTCACAGGGACCCCAGGTGGGTTAGAGTAGAACTGCCCCACCAAGACTCCGTGGTTGCATTTTCAGAAATCACCAGGCCTTACTTCTGACGATTCTTGGTGGACTCGAACCCAGAACCTTTCCATTAACAGGGCACTCTGCATCACCGAGGACCTCCTCTTACTAGTGTTACTGGGCAGCTGAGCTCACAGAGGGCTCTCAGAGCCCCCAGGTGAGGCAGGGACAGGAGGAGCTTTTCTGATCCGTCTCCCTCACCACCACCACCACCCCGCATCACCTGTGCCCACAGATTTATTTCTGGGAAGCCCAGCGGCGGAACCTCACGGAGCGAGTGAAGACACTCTTCTTGGCTGAGAACAGCGTGAAGCTCAAGAATCTAACCGGCTACACGGTCTACATGGTCAGCGTGGCAGCCTTCAACGCTGCGGGGGACGGGCCACGGAGCACCCCGACGCGGGGCCAGACCCAGCAAGCAGGTGGGGGAGCCAGGGCAGGGTGAGAGGGTCCGGGAGGGGCAGCGGCTGCGGGCTGGGGGGTGTGTGGAAGCAGCCTCCCACAGCAGCAGGGTCTGGGGTTGGTACCCAGGTCTCCAGTGCCCTCCAGATGGGAGGCTTGTCTGCACTGAGGGGCCTGGCAGTGGTGGGTCAGAAAGGGGAGAACATTAGCTCACTCTCCTCCCCACAGGTGGTGGCCCGGAGTCACCCCACGTCTCCCTGCCTTGTTCCAACCTGCCTGTCTCACATGTCCCCAGCTTTGTTCACTGAAGAAATATTTATAGGGCGTCTTCTGGGAGCCCACACCGTACTGGGTGCTGGGGACACAGAGGTGAACGAGACTGGCAGGTCCCCACCCTCCCAGGCAGGAGATCACTAACGTGTGATGATACATTGGCAGCCAGGGGTGGTGATGTGGGTGGACGGTATGAGGACAGGACCCGGGAACCGGTGACTTTGTCTAGGGCTGTCTGGGAAGCTGGGGGAGGAGACAGCCGAGCTGAGAACTGAGGGGGGGAGAGGACGACAGCCAGGGCAGGTTCTAGAGGGAGTGTCTCAGCAGAGGCAAGAGCAGGTGCTAAGGCCTGGCGACTGGACTGGGTTGATGGAAAAGAGAGGAAGCCAGCGAGGCACGCAAACTGAGACAGAGCGGGGCCTTTCAGAAAGGGTCAGGGCACCTTGAATGGAGTGTGGGGTTCATTCCAAGTACAGTGGGAGTTGGAGGGTTGGGTTTTTTTAATTTTTTAATGAAAGTTTACAGAGACTTGGGGTTCCCAGTCATTCATTGTTGCACTTTTGTCCCTACCCACCCCTCTCCCTCAATTCACTCTTCTCCTTGAAAAGAAAAATAAAAACTCTTTCATTGTTATGCAATCCCTCCTCCCAAGTCCACTCCACTGTGCAACCTTCCTTCTGGACTCCTGTCATGACAATAATACCCAATCATACATCACTTTTAAACAGTTCTCTCCCTCATCTGTTTCAATGCAGTATACATCATTCTTCCCCTCTTTCTCTGTCTTTTCTCAGCCCCAATGTCAGTCCCGTTTTATAATAGTGGCCCTATGCAATATTTGTCCTTTTATGACTGAGATATTTCACCTAGCATAATGTCCTCCAGGGTGACCCATTTTGAATAATATTTCATGAGTTCCTTATTTTTCGATGCTGCATTGTATTCCACAGCTTCTCTATCCATTTGTTTGTTGATGGGCACTTGGTTTATTTCCACCTCTTTGCTATTGCAAACAAAGTTGCAATAAACATGGGTGTGCATATATCTGCTTGGGCCCCTTAAGGTTTCTTTAGGGTAAATTCCCAATAGTGGAATTGCTGGGTCAAATGGTATTTCTGTTTGCAACATTTTAAGAAAGCACCATACCTCCTTCCACAGTGGTTACACCATTTAACACTCCTACCAACAGTGAATTAAGGGTTCCAGTTCCTCCACAAGCTCGCCAGCATTTGATGTTTGCTGTTCTGTTAAATTTTGCTATTCTTACTGGGGTGAGATGATGTCTCATAGCTGTTTTTGTTGGAGGGTTTTAAATGAAGGAGCCAGTGTCTGGTTTATATTTGTAAACTTTGTCTGCTGTGCAGAGCCAGGCTTGGGGGGTGGGACAGGGGCCCAGGGAGGAGGCAGGGGAGTGGGGGAGGGTGATAAGAATCTCCCCTGGGCAGAGGACACCCCAATGTTCTGAGCTCCTTGTCAGTGTTCATTCCATCCTTACAGATTCCCTGAGATGGACAGGGCAGGGGTCTCCCATGTCACAGCTGAGGAGGAGTCATCAGGAGGCCCCTTGTCTTGTCCTCAGCGAGTCAGTTTCTGGCCATGTCCTAGGCTATTGTTGCGACCCCAGCCCTTCCTCAAGGCCCCAGTGGACTTGAATATGTGTCTTTAGTCCTGGCTTCCACAAGCGTCTCTATCTGCTGTTTCTGGAAGCGTCCATTCCCTTTTACTCCAAAGAGGCCCCTCTCCCTGTGTGGTCAGTTCCTAGTGGTCCTTGTTAGAGGCCAGTCCCTAGGACGGGAAGCAATGTCCACTCTCCTGCTGCAAAAGTCTCCCACTGAGCTCAGGCTGGCTATCCCAGCATCCACGTCAGCCAATCTGTCCATCTGACCAGTCCATTCTTGGTCAGTGTCCTTGGCCGGATGTGCGCCCCTACAAGCCTGAAAGCTTCCGTCGCTGTGGCAGCGGGACAAAGCATTCAGTCGCACGTCCATCCAGCTGGGGGGACAAGAAAGGCCCCCTGCCCTCGTCCCTCTCCTTCATAGAAGACTCAGGATGCAGCCTGTGTTGCCCGGCCCAGTAGGGAGGCGGCACTGGACAATGACCACCGGTCATCCTTCCTGGGGCCAGCTCAGGAGGGCTCCTCATCCTCGCCTCTCCCCACTGTTCTCCCCCAAACTTCCCGGGCCCCATGCCCTCAGTGTCAGCCCAGGATCCTCGGGCCAAGAGCAGAGCTCATCCGGAAGCTGGGACTGAGTCTTCCCATGGGAGGGTCTCGCTGACAGGCTCCAAGGCCCTGGAACAAGAATGAGGCTGTGTCCACTGCAGTTCTGGAATCTTCTCTAACTAGTTGCCCTCTCCGCTTGCCCAACTCCTGGTGACCCTTGTATGTCCGAGTAGAACTTCACTCCAGAGGGTTTTCTATGGCTGGTGTTGGAGATTGCCAGGCCTTTCTTCCACGGCACCGGTGGGAGGGGGGAAGGTGTTAGATGCAAATCTCCAGCCTTTTGCATAGCAGCCAAGTGTACTAACAATTTGCATCACTTGGGGATTCTAGAATCTTCTTTATGCAGGAGACCAGGAAGCTCCTGACTTCTCCATCAGGGAAGTTGAATGATAAAGCCACAAAGCCAGGAAGGGGCCTTGGCCCAGCGACCAGGGCAGAGAAGACAGGCCGGCTCGGTTCTCTTTGCTCTGATGGGGCAGGAAGAGGCTGACGTTGCCAGCTTGTTGTTTACTGCTGAGTTGACGGACTCGCGTAGCTGACCTGATGGAGGATTTTCAGAGACAGTAAATCACGCGGAGGGAGACTGCCCATCGTTCTTCCTCAGAGCAGCTGGTGGATTCAAACTAAGCACCTTTGGGTTGATTGTGCAGCTCCTTAAGCTACCAGGCTCCCTTTGCCAGCATTAGGGAAAAGTATAGTTCCCTCTCCTCGTGTCCTGGAAAGTCAGGGTGCCAAGGACAGCATGGCCACAGAGGTGGAGGAAGAGGGTCTAGAGGGCCCTGTGCCCCCTCGCCCGTTGTATGAAACCCTGCCCCTCTCCTCACGCCCCGTGCCAGGCCAAACACCCCTCCATGCACAGAGCCTAGCCCCAGGCCCTGAGCCTCCAGAGGAGGGGACGCCAAGCCCTCTGTGTCTCCACAGCCCCCAGCGCGCCTGGCTCTGTCAAGTTCAGCGAGCTGACCACCACCTCGGTGAATGTGTCCTGGGAGGCCCCCAAGTTTCCCAACGGCATCCTGGAAGGCTACAGACTGGTGTATGAGCCCTGCACGCCCGTGGACGGTAAGTGGGTCACCCCCTCAAGTCAGCTTCTTACCTGCCACCCCGCTGGCATGTCCTTCCCTCTGCGTCATTCTCGGTCACTCCATGCAGGTCAGAGGTAGTGAGAGCCCCCCCATTTTATAATTGGGGAAACTGAGGCTCAGACAAGGAAAGAGGGACCTCCATGTTGGAGCAGTCCCTGTACCCCTGACACCGTCTGAGGACCTCAGATCAGAGGGTCTGACCTCCAGTTGCCTCTGCAGCCTCTGCGCCACCCTTCCCCAGACCCCACTCCCAGGCTGACCCCGACTGTGGACATCAGACACCTGCCTGTCACATACTTTGAGCTCAGGGGGTGTCACGAACCAGAAGTCACTGCTTTTTGCCACTTCCTGTGACTTGAAAGGCAGAGAAGGAGGACGGGGGTGGGGTTCCTTCTTCATGTCCCACCCGCTTCCTCTCAGCACCACGTGGAGCCTGGGCAGGAGCCGGGTGGCCAGCGGCCAGGTGGGGCACTGGTGTTGGGTAAGCGTTGCAGGGGTCACCCTACTCGCCCCCTTCACCGTGGTGGAGCCAGCACGTCTGGGTCAGCCTGGGAACAATGGCCCCTCAGTCCTCCCGCCACCTGCATGCCCACGTGCTAGGACACTGACAGGGCGCTGACCCAGGAGGAGATCCGCTCTGGTGCAGGCCTGGGCTCCAGGCAGGAAGGTGAGGACAGAGGTCATGGTGGAGGCAGACTCAGGGGCCTGGCAAGCTCAGTATAACCTTGAGGGGTCATGAGGTTGACCCCTCAGTCAGGGCAAGATCTTTCCCTGGATTCCTGTGACTCATCCCCCCTCTAACAGCCCCAGGATAGGACCCCTGACCTCTGGAAGTGGCTGGACAATGGCCAACCCAGGAGCCTTGGGGGACGTCAGCACAGCGTCTGCACGCTCACTGCCCTGAGTGCAGATCTACAGCAAACTGATCCCACAGCAAGCCGTTAGCTCCCCTTTCCTGAGGGGAAACTGAGGCACAGATCGATGCAAAGTTCACTCAGAGTGCAGGAGCAGGGACCGGCGTTTCTGGCCCCGAGGAGCAGCCCCACCTCACCCTGGGCTCCGACCCTCACTGCCATCCAGCTGGGTCCTCCAGTGAGTTGCTGAGAGGAGGGAGCCCGTCTTTCTCCCTGGGAGCTGCTGGCAGATTTGAACTGTCAAAGTCACCGGCTTTGAGTTAACAGTACAACTCCCTGTGGGCTGCCCCACCGGAGTTCCCATCACCCTGGAAAAAAGTGAAAAACCAAACCCTTAAGCTGTTAAGTCAGTTCCAACTCACAGCAGTCCTGTGGACGGCCTGAACCCCGCCCAGTCCTGAGCCAGCCTCACCGTCTCCGCCACACCGGGCACCATTGCCACGGTCACTGAGTCAGTCCATCTCATCCAGAGCCTTCCTCTCCTGCGCTGTCCCTCCACATTTCCAAGCATGATGTCCTTCTCCAAGGACCGGTCCCTCCTGGCCAAGTGTCCAAAGTATGTGAGGTGGAGCTTCAAAATCTTAGCTTTCAAGGAGCAACTTGGTTTCACCTTCTCCAGGACAAACCTATTTGTCTTTTGATGATTCCTGGATCATTCACTATTCTACCATAGCATCCTTAAATATTGCAACTCAAGGCTTGAATTTGTTCTTCAGTTCCTTCAGCTTAAGAAATGCTGAGTGAGTTCCACCCTTTTGAATTCCTGACTCCAGCTTTTTTGCACATTTCATCGTAATATTTTGGTTTGTCTTTCTCTGCTGCCCTTTGAAATCTTCTGTTCAGCTCTTAATTTTTCTGATATTAGGGATCGTTAATTTAAAGAACCATATCTAGAAGCAGAATCTCTGGTGTGGGGAAATATGACATTGTTGACTGTGGAGGAGTCAGTGAGCCCTGGTGAGCCCATGCTTACCTTTCATACTGAGTCAGCTGACACTGGGCTGGATAGACATTGCTTTGTGGGTTAGGATGACGTTCTAGCCTGACTTCAGTGAAGGGGGCCTCTGGTCATTGTCAAGATCTGGGCATGTTGGGGGTCACACCACCGCTAACCTTCCCCTGCCGGCTCTAGAAACAAGGTGAATTGCACAGGCCATTCTCAGCACTCCACCAGACCAGTCACCCCTCACCTCTCTCCCACTGACCAGCAGTCCCCTCTTCCTGTGCTTCCCCAGGGGTCAGCAAGATCGTGACTGTGGACGTGAAGGGGAACAGCCCCCTGTGGCTGAAGGTGAAGGACCTCTCCGAGGGGATGACCTACAGGTTCCGCATCAGAGCCAAGACCTTCACTTACGGACCAGAGATTGAAGCCAATGTCACCACAGGCCCTGGAGAAGGTAGGAAGTCAGAGAGGAGCCCCTAGTGCCTACTCCCCACGCAAGTCAGATGGGGCTAACGATGACCAGGGACTAGAATCATAACAGCAGCCACTGCGCATGTGAGATGGGAACACAGGGTCCTGGGTGAGGGGCAGGGCAGGGACCCCAATACAGCAAGGTGGTGGTGGTGGTGGTTCTTGTTGTTGGGTACTGTCAAGTCAGAACCAACTCATAACTGACCCTCCAGGGGGGTTTCAGAGTCAGTAAACCATATGAGAGGAGACTGCCTGCCACTCTTTCTTTTTTGGAACACCTGGTGCATTCAAACCGTGTGCCTTTAGGTTGGCAGCACAGCTTCTTAGCACTAAGCCACCAGAGCTCCTTATGCATAGACGAGGTGAAGCTATTTAAAAGACTGAAGACATCAGGGCTTGTTGAGCTGAAGGGAGGCAATATTCAAATGGGCGTGCTCTTAGTCTAAGGCTTTGGGTTGGAAGGACATGGAAGTGATGAGCTAAGGACAGGAAGGGCCTGTGCCTTCAGGTTTTTCTCAAGGTGCAGCAGATGCACCTGAGTCCTTTGATGAATGCAGATTCCTGCCCCAGGAAGTCAGAGTCTGGGGTTCCACTTGGGAGTGTGCTTTTTAGCAAGAGCAGCAGAGACACTTTCATACCCTGCTGTTATAGCCACTGCTGTGGCAGCAGGGAACCCAGAGGGTCAGAGGGCAGAGGCAGGAGGACCAGCCAGGCTGCCTTCTCCTGCACAAAGGTGCTGGACGCAGGCCCTTCAAGGGCTTCAGGGGGAGAAGAGAGCAGGTCAAGTTGGCAGAACCCGTGTGTTGAGCCTAAGAGAGGAGGGAGGAACTGAGATTGTTCCAGAACCCGGCTTGGGAAACCCTGGAGCACTAATGCCATTAAGAAAATTTCAGTCCAGGTTTTTAGCTTCCCCTCCCCCAGGTCTTTCCTGGGCTGGGACAGTTTTCTGGGGACCCTGCAGTGGTCAGAGTCAAGCCACCAAAGTCACCATCTCTGAACACAAAAGCCAGCATTTAGCAGGCACAGCCCTTTCCAAATTGTCCCCAGAATCCCAAGCAGCCAGGGCAGGACAAAGGTGTCCACTCCCTGGCTGGGAGGCTGGGTCAGCTGCTGGGAAGTGGGCTGGGCCTGGCTTTCACTGACTGATCTCCCTACTGTGTGGCACCTGGCCACAGTTCGCTTTCCTTTTCTGATCACTTTCTAACCGTCCCCCCTCCCACCCAACCTGCCTGGTGTTCTGCAAACAAGCACGCCTGGCTCCTGCAGGGTACAGCTGCCCACTTGTGAAAACTGCTCCCACCACTCTGTCTCCATCTGCCCAGCCCTGCCCCCTCAAGCCCCTCACCTGAGCCAGCCCCCACCTGAGCCAGCCCCCACCTGAGCCAGCCCTCACCTGAGCCAGCCCTCACCTGAGCAGATTTCCTAGGAAACAAAAGCTGGCAAACAAACGGGTGGAGCTGGCAGCTGGCTGCAGCAGGGACAGGGTGGAGCCTCGGGCAGGAGGGACTGTCCAGAGGACAGTCTGTCCTAAGGCCTGAAGTCCGAGTGTGCGAGCTGCGTGGTCCCTAGTGAGGCAGGGTGGAAGTACAGAAGTGGTCAGTGGAGGGCACCAAGAATGCCACTATCGTAGAAAGAACGAGAAAAAGCAAGCTGTACCTGGTGGATGTGAAGGAGGCTGTGGGGACAGAGAGCTACCAGAAGTTTCCATGCGAGGAGGGGGGTGGCACTTGACTCCCTCGGGGTTCTGAGTCTCCTGCATTTCCAGAGCTCCCCCAGCTCTGCCCTTCCCTCCCTGACCCCCTCACTGACTTTGCCCCATGCAGGGTGGGCACGTGCTTGGGGGTCAAGGGAAGAGGGAGGCAGTGGAATTCTCCACTCTTGATTAAGGGGTCTGGACTGGACACAGGGCCAGATGGTGACCGGGCTCTGAGTGTGCCCCTGGCCTTCTGTCCAGCCTGCCACCTCCTCTGAGTCAGAGCACCTCCCATGGGGTGCTGGACTTTCAGCTCATCCCAATGGGCATCAGAGTAGCCACTGGACCCTAGCCACTGGACACCCACTTGTCCCTCTGCCCTTTGTCCCACAAACACAGAAGAAGCACCTTCTGTGCTCTGGGTTCCAGGATGTCCATGACTAGTGGGAGATGCTCAGAGTGGCAGTGATGGCCATGGGTGGACACTCCAGGTCATGGGGGTTCAGGAGACTGCATGAGGCGAGCTGGCCTTCAGATAGGGAGTGAGGGACTTAGGACCCTCAGAGGGTGCCTGGCTCACAGCTCTTCCTATCAAAAGTAGATTGTGGATTCCCCCCTAAAATACCCCCTTGGCCCCCGGTTAGGATGGGGAAGCCAAGACAGCCCTTCCGTCCCCACAGCAGGAGGCCCAGGCTCATGGTAATGATGCAGTTGCGGGCAGAGCTGGACTTCTGGAAGAAAGTAGGTCTACTATCAGAGGTCAGGAAGATGTCAGGCCCCCTCAAACCAGCCATGAACCCACTCTGCCATCATCACACCCACCTCTGATGTCCCCCCATAACCACATCCCTTTAGCTTTATGTTCCAAAACCTGGGGAAACTGAGGCTAAGAGGACTATCTGAACTGATCAGCACCCCAGTCTGTATTGGAGAGGGATCTTTCTGGCAGCCTCTCCTGGTTTGGGGTGACCTGACTGGAGGTGGGGTGAGGTGAGCCGACAGAGAGCACGGTGGGTTGGCATCGTGACTGTACACAGGGCTCCGGCTTACCAGAGATGGCAAGGGTGGCACAGGGTAGGGCAGGCTCAGATCTGTCGTTCCTATGGTCTCTGTGAGTCGTACTCGACTCAAAGACAACTAACAACAACTGGAGGTCTCTGGCTGGGGCTGGATCTGTGGGGCACAGGGGGTGCCCACTGTGTGCTCTCTTCCAGGTGCCCCGGGACCGCCTGGCATACCCATCATCATCCGGTACAGCTCAGCCATTGCCATCCACTGGTCCAGCGGAGACCCTGGCAAGGGGCCCATCACCCGCTACGTCCTAGAGGCCAGGCCTTCAGGTAACCCCCCCTCCCATGCTGAGCCTTGATACCTTCTGGGTTAAGACACCACATCTCACTTCCCTTCCTCTCCCAAGTACCCCATTCTTCCCCCCCTTATTTTATTATTATTATTATCATTATCATTATCATTATTATTAATGAAAATTTACATAGATTTTGGATTTCCATTCATTTATTGTTGTACTTTTCTCCCTGCCCACCCCTCCCCCACCCAATTCATTCTTCTCTTTGAAAAGTCAAAGAAAAATTTTTTTCATTGTTATGCAATCCCTCCAAGTCCACTCCACTGTGCAGTCTTCATTCTGGACTCCTGTCATGACAATAATACCTAATCATATATCCCATTCAAACAGTTCTCTCCCTCATCTGTTTCAATGCAGTGTATGTAATTTATCCCATCTTTCTCAAGTCTCCCCCCAACCCTAATGTCAGTCCCGTTTTACAACAGTGGCACTATGCAGTATTTGTCCTTTTGTGACTGAGATATTTCACTCAGCATAATGTCCTCCAGGGTCATCAATTTTGAATACTATTGCATGAGTTCCTTGTTTTTCAATGCAGCGTAGTATTCCATTGTGTGAATATACCACAGCTTCTCTATCCATTTGTTTGTTGATGGGCACTTAGGTTGTTTCCAACTCTTTGCAATTGTGAACAAAGCTGAGATAAACGTGGGTGTGCATATATCTGCTTGGGTGGCGGTTATGGTTTCTTTGGGGTATATTCCAAGTATATTCCAACTGCAGGATCAAATGGTATTTCTATTTGCAACTTTTTGAGAAAGCACCATACAGCCTTCTGTAGTGGCTGCACCATTTTACTCTCCCACCCACAGTGAATAAGGGTTCCAGTTTCTCCACAACCTCTCCAGTATTTAATGTTTTCTGTTAAATTTTGCTATTCTGACTGGGGTGAGATTATATCTCATAGTTTTGAGGACCACCATTCTTTACACTCCCTCCTCTACCCGGAAGGTGCTTGAGTTAATTGAGGTGAGGCTGGTGGTGGCTGTGGTGGGTGGTGAGAAAGGGGGTTGTGGGGCACCTCGTCAGAGCTGGATTCGGGGCTCGAGTGCCCCAGAGTGCAAGAGTTAAAGCCCAGTGAGGACCAGCGTGGACTGAGGGTCAACTTGAGTCAAGGATTGTTCTAGAAACCAGAGGAGCCAAGAGTTTGGCTCGCAGTAGTTGAAGTTCAGTGTCCTCCACATGACCCCAGCTGCCAGCATGCCATGACTAGGGACCTGCCTGGGTTCTGCCGGGGAACTGCCGAGGCAGCGCCCGTAACTGTACCAGCCGCGCCCACTGTGCCTGAAATCCAATCACAAGAACTTCCCCGGCACCAGGAGATGAGCGCTGATAAGTCGCTGCAGGGGGGCTGCATCCCAAGCTCCTGTTTCGCCCGTGGCCGTGGCGCCTGCTTCTGGGGCTCCGCCACCACCACCCGCTCAGCCGTTGCTAGGTTTCCAAGTTGCTCAGAGGTGCCGGTGCCAGGCAGGGTGGAGGCTGGTGCTTGGTGTGGCGTGGATCTGTGCTTAGGTGACTGAAGTCAAGCAAGAAAAGAGACGTTGCTGGGCCGGCAGGGAGAGCACATAATCCACATGATGGAACCAAATCAAGCGTGTCCGGGGCTCCTGCTTCTGTGCAGAGAGCTGAAACATTTCCGGGACCGTTACTACCTCAGGGTAATTATGAGAGCTGAGCATCCCAAGAGCTAATCGTTAGTAATTCCACTAGTTGTAGGAATGTCGCTCCCACCCAGCCTGGGCCTCAGTCTTACGCTAATAACTGCAGCTATGTACGAAGAGTGAGCTGGCTTGCGATCCGCTAACATCTAGGGGATGCGGTTGGCTTGGCTCCCTCTCCCCTTCCAGATGGTCTCTCCTGGCCTCTCCAGTGCTTGCTGCCGAGTTGGCCAGGACACTGCCGCCCGCCTCTCCCCGTCAGGGCCTGTGCTTGTCTGTTGCCCGAAGCTGGCCAGCCAAGGACCAGGCTGAGGAATGTCAGCTCCAGGACTTCAGCCCTGTCACTTTGCCAGCATTCCCCTGGGGGAGCCTAACGTGGGGCAGGGGGTGTTCTGGGATGGGGAGGCCATGGCATACACAGCTGGGATGTGAAAACTCGGCATGAAAGGAAAAATAAACCAGGACCCCTGAGGACCAGAGTGCCAGGGGGCTGGCCACCGACCAGCTAGTGATCCGGGCAAGGGAAGGGTGGGAAGAGGGCAAGGAGATGGTGGCCGAGGGGCTGCCTGGGCCTTTCTTGAGGCTGTCTGTGAGCAGCACAGGGCGGGGGCCTCCTCGGTCTTCGTGCCTCTGCCCCTGCTTTCCGCTGCCTCGGTGTCCCCCGGCCCCCACAGGAGGGTCATGCTGGCCCTCAGGGTGTACTCAGTCCGGCCCTGCACTACCCACTGTGCTTCCTGCTGTTCAGAACAAGAGGCGAGCGGGGCGCTGCAGACACAGGGGTGGGGCGAGCGCAGGGGAATGCGGAGCCCCAGGAACTGGCCAGAGCTGCTCGGAACATTCCAGCACTTCGGGCCGAGCGGACGCCCCTGCCCTGGCCCCCTCCTTTGTCTCTGTGTAGAATGAAACAGGAACAGCCGATCTCAGCCAGCAGGGGTCCTGCTGCAGGAAAAGCCTGCAGCCTCACAACAACATTGGCAGCACACAGTTGGCTCCCAGTGTGTACACATGGTCGTGGTGGAAGAGGAGTTCACGCACTGAGGGAGGAGTCACACAGAGTCACACAGCTCTAGGCGTAACTGCGGCTCAGCTGGAGTGACTGTTGGATCTGCGCCCTGGTCTGTCCTGCACTATCCTCACCTGTCTCTGATGTGCCCGTTGTTACGGGTCACTGGGTCAGTCTGTGCCACTGAGGGTCTTTCTCTCTCCAACCTTCCACCTTTCTCAGCGTCCTGTCTTTTTCCAAGGACAGCCCCACCTGACGACATCCAAGGTATAGGAAATGAAGTTTCATGACTTTTGAAAAATGCAGGAAAGCTCTTTCTGAGCCTTAGTTTGCTCCTCTGTAGAATGGACCTAACAGTTCCTCTGTCTTGTGGTTGCTCTGGAGACGGACTGTAAAGCACTTGGAAACGCACTGAGTAAACGTCAGCTGTTGGTTGTGTCACGTTGCGTCTTTACTGTTGCTGTGACCCCTATTTCAAGATGAATAAAGAAATTTAAAGCCATGTGAGGAAGATGGATTGCACCCCTATACTTAACATTTCAGAGGATAAAATTCCAAAATCAGGGCATACTATTTTGAGTTTTGGTTTGAGTTGGGGTTTTTTTTCCAAATTTTATTTTATCATTTTGTGTGTACCGTCAAATCAGATCTGACGAGTACAGGAGGAGATTGCCCCTCCTTCTCCAGTGGAACATCTGGTGGATTTGAACCGTGTTCCTCTAGGATTGCAGTGCAGCTTCTTGCCCTAAGCCACCAGAGCTCCCTTGATTTTGATGTGATAAAAGTGTCAGCAGACAGGATACCAGTGTTGGGTACTGAACTAAGAACTCAAACTAGACACAACCCCTGCCTGTGAGGAACTGAATCGATGGTTCGGTGGTAGAATACTCACCCTCCATGGAAGAGACCTGGGTTCGAATCCCGACTCATCCACCTCATGGACAGGTGAGCCAATACTCACCCATCTGTCAGCAGAGGCTTACAGTGTTGCTAGGATGCAGACCAGGTTTCTTTAGTCTGAGCTTCCAGATTAAGACAAGGAAGAAATAACTGGTAACCAACTTCTGACAAATCAGGTCATAGGTCACAGTGAAGCCAGCGTGGAGACAGTGCGAGACTGGGCAGTGTTCCTGCGCGACGGCACATGAGGCCACATCACTGGATGTACGGGCAACATCGCAATGGATGGAGAGGAGACTGAAACTGTCAACAACTTCATCTGACTTGGCTCCACAGTCAACACTGTTGGTACCAGCGGTCAGGAAGTCAGGAGACATACTGCACTGGAAAGTCTGCAGTTAGGGACCTCTCCAAATTCTTGGAGAGTAATGACGTCAGTTTGAGGACTAAAGTGCGTCTGGTTGAGCCCATGGTCTTTCCGATCACTTGCTGTACATCTGAGAGCTGGACAGTGAATAAGGATGGCAGAAGAATTGATCCCTTGCACTGCCAAAAGAATAAACAGATCTGTCTTGGAGAAAGTGCAGCCAGAGTGCTCCTTGGAGGCAAAGATGATAAAGCTTCATCTCACAGACTTCAGGCATGTTGCTCGGAGAGGCTATTCCTTGAAGAGGGGCATGATGCTCAGAAAGGCAGAGGGTCAGCAAAGGAGAAAAAGATCCCAAACAGGTGGAATGACACAAAGGCTGTCATAATAGTCTCAGGTGTCTCAGGAGATGGGAGGACGGCAGAGATCTGTTGTTTATGGGGTCAGTATGAGTCACGTGCGACTCAACGGCACCTCACAACAACATAACAGTAGCAGGCGCAGGAATGAGAGAGAGAATACACACAAGTGGTGAGAAGATTCCAGAATCTCAAGGCGAACAAGTAGGACTGTGTGGAACAGAGGCTGTGGACCCTGGAAGCTGCGTCAGGATAGCTCTGAAGATGGAGACAGGCCCTGCGGCCTTTTCTGATTTGGAGGGATGGACGTGGGAGGACAGGGAGGCCCCAGCAGGTCCTGCCACAGATCTCAAACAATGACCATGGCTTCTCCATCTGGGAGGACAGGCCTGTGTACGGCCTGGTGAGAAGGGTCCGCCGGCCACCCAGAAGGGTGAGCAGAGCCGGGGAAGCTGGCCTGTGACCTGTGGCCTGAACAGCAGCTCTGGACAGAAGGGGCTGAGAGACCAGAAAACAAGGCAGTCCAGTGAGGGTGAGGCAGGCATGGGGGGTGGGGGTGTCAAGGGTATTTGGTCCTGTGGCCTTTTGCTCCGTGGTGGTAGCAGCAGCTCCGAGGACACATTGGGGGACCCCGAAACTGGCCCCAGAATGGAGGACGGTGAGCTCAAACGAGGGAGGTCCTGAGGCCTCTGGAGCCTGACCACACAAAGGGACACCTGACCAGGCCAGGCCGCATTGCCTGGTTCTGTCAGCTCACACAGAGGAGTGGGCTGGCCCCCAGGAGGCCCACCGGCGCATCTGGCCAGGGCCCTGAGCCTCCAGTCACAATGATGGATGACCAGCAGGCTGTGGCCGCCTCCTGCCCTGCTCTCACATGGCAGCCCCCTGCCGCCCCCTCTGAATGGGGTGAAGGTGAATTATATGTCACGGGGACAAAACCCAGAGCCACATACAAAGGGCCTGAAAGGGCACGAGGAGCTCAGAGCCGTGGGGAACAGATGGGTCTCTCCCAGGTGGACGTCAAGGAACATTCCAGCTCTTTATGTCCTTCTGTCCCCTCTGAAAGGAAGACCCTGAGAATCTCAAAGTCTCATTGCCATCAAGTCACAGCTGACTCGTCGCTGACCTTCCATGGGGTTCTTGAGGCTGTAAATCGTATAGGAAGAGAGATTGCCCATCTTTTTCCTCAGAGCTGCTAGTGGATCTGAACGGCCAGAGAAACTTCCAGGGCTGGTCGTTGGGTTAGCGGCTCATGTCCCTGAAGACCAGGCCACCAGAGCTTGAACAAACCGCCTCATCAACCCAAATGCCCCCTGCTGCCATTTGGAAAAGACAATTAATCCACATCTGTTTTACTGACATCGTTACTCTGTGGACTTACAATGTGTGTTGGTCATAAAGAACCACTGAGTTGATTTCAACTCATAACAACCCTAGGACAAAGTAGAACAGCCCAGACTTGTCTGTCTTTTTTTCTTTTCTTTTCTTTCTTTCTTTCGTTCTTTTTTTTTTTTATTATGAAAGTTTACAGAGACTTTGGGTTTCCATTCATTCATTGTTGTACTCAGACTGGTCTTTCAAGCAGCAAATTTACAAGTCTTTTCTCCCAAAGAGTAGCTGGTGGGTTCAAACCACTAACCTTTCAGTTAATAGCTATCACTTAAGCACCAGGAATAGTGGACTACCCACAGAACAAAGAGGTCTGTCCTGGAGAGGGTCAAACGAGGTTGTTCCTTGGAGGCAAAGATTTTGAAGCTCCATCTCACATACTTTGGGTGCGTGGCCAGGAGGGACCAATCCTTGAAGAAGGACATTATGCTTGGAAAGGTGGAGGGACAGTGCAGGAGAGGAAGACCCCCAGATGAGATGGATTGACACAGTGACTGTGGCCATGAGGACAGGTGTGTCAGAGACGGTGAGACTGGCTCAGGACAGGGCAGAGTTCAGAGCTATCGTTCATAAGGTCACTAGGAGTCATAGTTGACTTGGTGGGACATAACAACAAGAAACTTTAATTCTGGAAAACAATACCACGAAGCAGCATGATATTCACTGAAGTGGTGAAAGCATGGTACAGAGCTGTCCCACGGAGGGAGACCTCCGCTGTTTAAACTGTGGGCCATGCTGGGTGTCCTGCGTTGATCTGATTCGTGTATTACAGAGTAGAGCTGCCCAGTGGGGCCTTTGGGGTTGTAATCCTCACAGGAGCACATTGTCTATGTTTTTTCATTCCCACATGGGCTCAGTGTCCCCTCCAAGCTCACTGGTGTCCCTTGCGGTTTTAGAACTGAGGCCCCTATCGCAATACCAGTGATGCCATCCGTCAGAGCCATCAGTCAGGGAGTCAGTGTTTAAAGAGTTCACAGGAGCTCTGGTGGTGCTGCTGATAAGCATGAGGTTGGTGGTTCAAATATGAACCACCTCTGAAACCCAGGGCAGACCAGGGTCGCTCTGAGTGGGACTCAGTGGCGGTAGATTTTTGTTTTATTAAAGGCTTGTGGTTAGATCAGAACCACGTGCAAAATCTCTCTTTGCTATTAATGTAACAGAATCACGAGAATGAGGGGCTCTAGGAAGACCTTCATAAATGTTGCTAGGAGAGGCTAATCCTTGGAGAAGGACATCATGCTTGGGAAGGTGGAGGGACAATGAAAGAGAGGAAGACCCCCCAAGCAGGTGGATTGACGCAGTGAGTGCTGCGGTGGGCTGCAGTGTGTCAGAGGTTGTGAGGATGGCACAGGACAGGACAGGGTTCAGAGCCATTGTTCATAGGGTCTCTGCGAGTCGTACTCAACTCGACGGCACCTACCAACAACAGTGGTGCTGTGGTTAAGGCATTCAGCCGCTAACGAGAAGGACGGCTATTCAAACCCTCCAGCTGCTTTGTAAGAGAAAGATGAGGCTTCTGTGAAGATCTTCCTCCTCAGAAGCCCTGGGAGCCAGCTCCCCTCAGTCCTTCAGGGTCACTGAGTCGGAACTGACTCCATGGCAGTGGGGAGTGGTGACTCATGGGAACGCTATTTCTTCTTACTCTGTTTGCACCCACATGAGCGATGGGGAGAGAGGAGGCCACAGCTTACGTGAGGGGTGAGGGCGAGAGTCATCGTAGAGCTCAGTCTGCAAACAGTGCTCCCTGATGTCTGTTCTCTGCCTGGTCTCTCATGGTACTGGTGGCTCAGTGGTAGAATTCTCACCTTCCATGCAAGAGACAGGGGTTCAATTCCCAGCCAGTGCACCTCACACACAGCCACCACCCGTGTGACAGTGGAGGTTTGAGCGTCTCTGTGACATTGAACCGTGGGGCTTCAGACAAGGCAAAGTAGGAAGAAAGGCCTGGCCAGGCACTTCTGGAAGTGAGCCAGCGAAAGCCCAGGGGTCCCATAAACCGTCCTGGGGACAGTCCAGACTGGGCAGCAGTTTGTCCTGTCATACGTGACCACTATTAGTCACCCCTGTAGAAGCCCTTAGCGTTCTCTGCATGGTGACACTGGGTGGGGTGGGTTGTGTTTTCTGCACAGGATGCATTTTTCAGGGTTTTGCAAGATGTTTTCATTCCTTTTTTTTTTTTAAATACAAAAGTGCTTTATTGTTCAGAATAATTGCACATGTGGAGACTCTTTCCCCTCGGTAGGAAGGTGGCGAGGGAAAAAGCCCCGAGTCCCCCTGCGCAATTGTTTTTAAGGCCTTCCCAGGTGCTACTGTTGGGGCGGGGAGATTGGGAGCATGGTTGGTGGGCCAGGGGACCAGTCATGTGGGTCGGCTTTTGATGGGAAGATGTTTTCATTTCTAAAACACCCTGCATGCCTTTTGGGTCAGATGCTGGTAAAGACATACCATTTAAAGTCAGTTTACTGAGGATTATGTCAGGGTGGAGCCTGGAGATGCAGCGTGAACAGGGTGGACCAGACCACCCAGCCCTCAGGGAGAACCTAGGGATTGGGGTGTGAGGAGTAATACCCCCCATCAACACTGACTCCCCTCTCTGGGCTCCTGCAGATGAGGGACTCTGGGACATCCTCATCAAGGACATCCCCAAGGAGGTGACCTCCTACACGTTCAGCATGGACATCCTGAAGCCAGGTGTGAGCTACGACTTCCGGGTCATCGCCGTCAATGACTACGGTTTCGGCACCCCCAGCAGCCCCTCCCAGTCTGTCCCAGGTACAGGCCCAGTGGTGGGCAAGGGGGCTGAGGCATGGAGCACGGCCACTGGGATCCACATAAGTGAGCCACAGCTTGTTAGGCTGGGGCCTCAGACAGCAGGGTTCCTTCTCGAGAGCTCCAGAAACCCTGGATAGCGGGCCAATGGCCCAGTCCGTGGGCTTGTGATTAATGCTTCTGCCAGCTCGCCAGCCAGAATAAGCCAGACCATGAGGTGACCTTCCCTCCTCAAGGGGCAGGACCAGCTGTCCCACAGACAGACCCTCAGGCTGGGTGAGCAGTGACTGGGTGGCCAGAATTACTGCCCACCGCCCCCCCCCAGCCTGTCCCAGGACTCACAAAGGACTCTAATATCTAGACTCATGACCCCAAATCAAATCACTGCCCACTTTTAACACCAGCAGTCCATCCCCCACGTCAGAGTCTAACTCAGAATTTCTAGCCACGGGTACTTTCCAGAAACCTCCCTCCTCCCACGCCCTTCTCCCTTGGCCAAAGGGACAGGACCAACTCAAGAGCAGGAAGAGTGTCCCCTGCAGGACGGAAGTGGAAGAGGCCGGCCTCTTGTCAGGTGGGGGGTGGGGGACAGGGAGCACAGTGCTGGGGTCCCTGCAGAAATGACTGAGCCTCCCTGGAAGAGGTCATCCGAAGGCCCCTCATGTCCACTCTCACTACCAGGAAAATATTCCAGCCAAGTTTAACCTTGGGAGCTCTGGCAGGCCGGATAGACAAACATCTCATACACATCTGAGTCTGCTTCTCAAGGAACTCTGAGGAGCCACGGTGGTGCAGCGTGGAACATACCAGACTGCTAACCAAAATGTCGGCAGTTCGAATCCACCACCTGCTTTGTGGGAGATGGATGGACAGACTCCTTCTATAAAAATTTATGTCCTTAAGGGAGCTCTGGTAGCCTAGTGGCAAGAAGCTGCACTGCAGTCCCAGAGGTGCACGGTTTGAATCCACCAGATGCTCTGCTGGAGAAGGAGGGGCAATATCCTTCTGTACCAATCAGATCTGATTTGATGGTACATACACACAAAATAATAAAAGAAAATAAATTTTTTTTTAAAAATGTATGGCCTTGGAAACTCAGTGGAGATTCACAAGTCAGAATTCACACAGTGGCTCTGGGTCTGGTGGAGGGTAGGTAGAGAGATCTTGTAACAGCGGTTAAAAATTCAGCTGGTAGGTACAACCACCAGCCACTCCAGTGGTGAAAGACATGGCAGTCTGTTTCTGTAAAGGTTTACAGCCTTGGGGACCTCTGGGCCGTTCCACTGTGCCCTACAAGGTTGCTATGAGTCTAAGTTAACTTGGTGGTAGTGTTTATCAAGTGGCTCCCAGGATAAGGGTGACAAGAGCAGAAGGGAGAAATAGCAAACGTGCCATTGCTCCCTCCCCCTACATCTGAACAGACATCACTAATCAATCCCAGAGCTTGTTCCTAATGAGCCCAGAGGCCACTTGGGAATCTTCTCACAACAGCACTCCCAGCAGCGCCTGGCCTGAGCTAGCATTTGAAGTGAAGCTGTCCTTCCTCAGCTCATTTGAGGTTCTAGGTTATTCGTTGGCAGAGAGTAGCCTACCCATAAACAGTAGAAGCAGGTGGCCAGGCTCCAGCTGGTGTGGACAGGAGGAGGCAGCAGGGGACTGACACCCCCCCACCTGCCTTCCAGCCCAGAAAGCCAACCCCTTCTACGAGGAGTGGTGGTTCCTGGTGGTCATCGCCCTGGTCGGCCTCATCTTCATCCTGCTCCTGGTTTTTGTACTCATCATCCGAGGCCAGAGCAAGAAGTACGCCAAGAAGACGGACTCAGGTGCGCGCCTGTGCCAAAGGGGGTCCCCTGCTCCTTGAAATCGACCACCTGCTCTGGAGGGTGGGGCGGCCACACAGCCTAAGTCCCTGATTGGTGTTCACGCAGAAAAGAGGGACAGTCCAGCGCAGTCCTGGGGGGGGTGAGGGTTCACAGCCACAGGGTCTGAAGGTATGGAGTGGGGTGACCGGCTCGCAATCCCTCCGCCCAGGAAATAATGCCAAGTCCGGTGCACTAGGCCACGGCGAGATGCTGAGCTTGGATGAAAGCAGCTTCCCGGCCCTGGAACTCAACAACCGCAGGCTGTCGGTGAAGAACTCCTTCTGCAGGAAGAACGGCCTTTACACCAGGTAGTGGGGTGGGTCTGTCCCTGTGTGGTGAGAGGGGCCAAGGACAGAGGCGAGGCGGGTCCAGCAGGGCGGGGTGTGGTCTGAGAGCAGGTCACGCCCACCTGGTCTTTGCTAAGAAAAGCTTTCAAGTTCAGGGCTGGGAATGGTCAACAAAAATACAGGAGAGGGCCCAGGCAGAACCATGAGGCGCAGCTACTGGTCCTACCAGGCCCAGGGGCATACATATGTGTAGGGGACAGTCACTTCAGACGAGGGTATAAAGTGCAAAAACCACCCCACTGCTGTTTGAGGCCATCCACCCCTGGTCACAGGGCTTCAGACCTGATGGTCACTGTCATCAGAGACAAGATGGACCCCACCAGAGTTGAATTGGACAGACCGTTGAGTCAGAGGCCAGGGGTTCCCCATTGTTCCCCAGCCCTCCACAGAGGAGAAACCCCTTCCCCGTCCTTCTTGATGCACCTTCTAGAATAATCTCCCACTCACCCCCAGGCCCCACTCTTAGCCTCACTCTCTGCAAGGATGGTTAGAAGAGCAAGGCTGGGGTCCACCTGTGGAGCTCCTGTCTGTCACCTGGAGTGACACGTGGTTTTATGTACCGGGGAGCTGAGCCGAGGGGGCCCTGTGTCTGGCCTCCGCCCCTATTTGCCATGCAGGCCTCATCGGAGGAGGCGAGGGGGAGCCGGCCTCTCCCAGGCCCAGCACAAAGGGCCTCTGTCCAGGCTCAAGGGGAGAAGCGATGTGTGTGTTCACGGGGAGGAAGGAGGGAGGGGTGCACAGCCTGGGCTCGCTCTCATCCCCGGCCAAAGCCAGTCTCCCAAAGAATGAGCCATGTGAGGCCGCCTTGCGGGTCCAGCTGGACTTGGCCTGGCCACCGCGACCCCGCCAGGCTGGCTCCAGGCCTCTGCCACAGTCAACAAGGGGGCACCTTGAGAATGACTCCCTGCCCACGCACCCACGGTGTACACGCTTGAGGCCCCTGCGTGCTGTGTGTGCCCAGAAATGCCCCCCACCCCGCTCACACACCGACCCTCTGCCTGTGACTGGCCCTGGGACACTGCAGGCAGAAACACAGCGATTTAGAAGAGCGTCTGTGGTGACTGGTTTGAGCTTGCTAAGCAATCTCTCACAGCTGAGGGTGGACGCTGCCATGCTGGTTCCCCAGAGGGAGCTCTGGTGGCCGGCCAGGCCCCCCACGCCCTCTACCTGGCACCCATTCCTCCCTCTGCCGCATGTGTCCACATGTCCATCCTGTCTCCTTGACCCACTGCCAGGACTCGTCGTTTCGTTTTGCTTCTATTTAAGTTGTGTGGTTGTGGCTTTGTGTCTGCTGTTGTTCGTTGCCATTCTGTCAAAACGAGCTCATAGCTGACCCTCCAGCAGGTTTTCAGATGCAGGGGAGGAACTTCCCGTGTTTCTTCCACGGCCACGGCTTTGTGGATGGGAGAAAAGTCAGTGCCTGTGGGTCAGGGGGCTCCGATGGTGGCAAATGCCACCCTGAGTAGCCTGCCCTGAGCAACCCTCCTGCGGCCAGGTCCTCTGGGTGGCTGGGACTCAGAGCTGAGCAATTTAGGGAACTTTCTTGGGATGGGGCACGGGGGCTCTGAGCTGTGCCGGTTCTGAGAGACACAAGCAAGAGAGTTGTGCAGGCCCCCAGACACCTGTCCAAGGACCCCCAGGTCTGCTCCCTCTCCTGTGCCCATCTGTGTTCTGTGGCTCAGACCAGCTGTCACTCGCCGGGAAGAGCACAGCTTTCTCCAGGCTGGTAGTAAAGGTCGGGGTTTGAGTCAGCCCCTGGCGAACATTTCTGGTCTCTGGGCTGATTAGAAGGGAGAGGTTTTTCTCTTACTCCTGACCCTGGACACTGAGTCTGGCAAAAGCTCCCTTGTGTCTGCAAGGCAGGGACAGGCTGCACCTGATGGTCTGACTCAGAAGAGGGAGAGGGGAGCTGGGTACTTATGTAGAAATCTTCCCAGTGGGCAAGGAATTGGACTATCAACCCAAAGGGATGTGGTTTGAATCCACCAGCCATTCGAGGGGAAAAGTTAGGCAGTCTCCTCCTGTGTGAGTCACCTTCTCTGAAAACACACTGGGGGATCAGCAGTGAACCAGCGGCTCCCAGATGACAATGAGAGAGAGAATGAAGGGTCTGTCACAGGCAGCTCCAGTGTGGTAGTCTCTGCACCACCGTCCGAGAATCATGGAGCACCCCCCCTTTTCCTTGGACACTGAGCCAGTCCTTGAACCTCCAGCACCCTGAGTCTTCCCACTCCAAGGCTCTAGGGAGAGCAGACTAGGAGGACAAGGGACATAGGGTGAAGAGGACACTGCGGGGAGCCTGCCTGGGGACCCCGAGTCTGCTCCCATGTGCCCCCTCCCCAGGATTCAGGGGAATTCCAACCCACCAAGGTTGCATTCCTGGTGCTAAGTCAGGGGGGCTGCTTGGAGGAGGCCTTCTTGTTTTCACCGTACCCACTCTTTCTAGGTCCCCTCCCCGGCCTAGCCCGGGCAGCCTCCACTACTCGGACGAGGACGTCACCAAGTACAATGACCTCATCCCGGCCGAGAGCAGCAGCCTGACAGAGAAGCCTTCGGAGGTCTCCGACTCTCAGGTGGGGGCCGGGAGGGTCTTGTCACCCTGGGGGGTGGGCAGTGAAGGGCACAAGCTTTGTGCCCTCCTCTCCTGCAGGCCCAGGGGTCAATACAAACCTGGGAGCCTAAGAAACTATCCGGGAGTCACAACTGGAAGCAGTGGTCAACCTGCTGGTGCTGGAAGTCTACACCCAGCACAGGAAGGGGCCTTAGGACACTGATGGTGGGAGCCCTCTGAGAGCGGGGACCTCCGGACCCACAGTGGTCATCCTGTGCTCAGTAGCTCTGGCTGCGGAGAAGCCCAGCAGAGGCGAGGAGAGTCCAGGAAGGGGCACGTTGTTGTTGTTGTTCGGTGCCATCAGGTCGAGTCTGACTCATAGCGACCCTGTGAACAACAGACCTGAGCCCTGTCCTGTCCTGTGCCGTCCTCATCATGCCTGACGCACTTGAACCTGCGTTTCCCCAAGGCCTGCAGAACTGCTAATCTTAGCTACTTGCTTTTTTATGCAAATAACACCTATTTCCCGCATGTGCCAATGAAACTACATACCTTTGCACATTATTTATGCAGACACATTATATGTGGGGGAAAACGAATGCTTGAGTTAAAAACGAGGGCCGAGTGTCCCACGATGGGACTGAGGGTGCGAAGCTGGTGTTAGTTCTCTTTGGGAGTGTTGACCTGGGTTTGAATCCTGCTCCGCTCTCTACAAGCCAGGGTCCTGTGTTTGAGTCTCAGTTTCTCCATCTGCAGGCTGGACAGGGGTAATAATGGGTGTTCTCTGGGGCTGTGTGTGTGTGTGTGTCACTTAGACAGTACGCTGGGGGCCTGGCACACGGTACGCACTCATTAACCATCAACTCTTCAATCAAGAAGGGGGACAGTGCCTCCGGAAAAGCAAAGAGCCCTTGAGAAGCTGCCATCGCAGAGGTCACTTGGGGACAGGAGGGACAAGTTGTCCCGGGCTGTGCAGGGGGTGGGGGCGGAGGCTGAATGCATTCCTGTGATGTTGCCTCCGCCCACCCCAGCCCTCCCTCCCTTCCCAGCTTCCCCAAGCCTAATGGTTGTCCAGGAAAAGCTCTGAAAGGCCACTATGTCCTGGCCTTTCTGCCCAGTCCTGGGAGAGGAAGAGGTGCCAGCAGGGAGCAGGGCTGGGGCCGGGTGGGCGGGGAGAGAAGCCTGGGATTGGGGCTGCTCTCCTGCACGGCCGAGGGCTACTCGCGGCCAGAGAGACCTCACCTCGCCCGGATCAGGAGGGAGATAAAGCGGAGATGAACCCCGTAACTTTGGGGGTGGTATCTTTGGTGCATCTTCAACTGCAGCTATCGGCTCACGTTGTTAGTTGTGGACAAGTGGATGCTGACCCCTGGTGACCCCGGGAGCTCAGGGTAGAACCGGCTCATAGGGTTTTCTAGGCTGTGACCTTGGCAAAGTGGACCTTCAGGCCTGTCTCCTGAGATACCTCTAGGGATGTTTGAACTACCAACCTTCCAACTAATGGCCAAGTCTTTGACCATTTGCACTACTTGTGGCCTCTGTAGCCACATTCCAGAACAAACCAGCCTACTGCTGTCAGCTGATTCCAACTCATAGCAGCCCTGGGTTGTTATTGATGTTGATGTTGTTGTTCTTGTTGTTATGTGCCTGTGACTCATAGTGACCTCTGCACAATAGCTCTGATCCCTGTCCTATCCTGAGCCAGTCTCGGTGTCTCTGACACACCTGCCTTCGTTACCCCAGTCAGTGTGTCAATCCATCTCCTCCGGGGTCTTCCTCTCCTGCACTGTCCCTCCACCCCTCCAAGCATGATGTCCTTCTCCAAGGACTGGTCTCTCCTGGCAATATGCCCAGGGTATATCAAACAGAGCTTTAAAATCTTTGCCTCCAGAGAGCATCTTGGTTTCACCCTCTCCAGGGCAGACTTGCCCCATCAAGTCAACTCTGACTCATAAGTGACCCTGTGAACAGCAGATCTGGATTTTGGCCTGTCCAGTGCCGTCCTCACAATCTCCAGCACACTACCTCAAGTCCATTGCTGCCACCACCATGGAAGTCCGTCTTGTGGTCTTCCTCTCTTATGTTGACCCTCCACCTTTGCAAGCATGATATCCTGCTCCAAGGACTAGGTCCTCCAAATGGCATGCCCAAAGCACGTAAAACTGTCCTGTTGGGTTTTCACAGCTGACCCAAACACCTTGTCCATCTGACAGTTCAAATCCACTGGCAGTTCCACAAGAGAAAGATAATGGACAGTCTCCTCCATGCAGTTTACAGCCTCTGAAAACCCACTGGAGGGTCAGCTGTCAGTCACTTCCAACTCCATGGCAGTGAGTGTAGAATTTTTGAGGCTGTGAATCTACCAGAGCAAGCGACCTCATCCTCCTCCCACAGAGAAGCTGGTGGATTTGAACCAACAACCTTTTGATTAGCAGCCCAACACTTTTCTCACTATACCACACGGCCAGTGCATAGAGGCCTGGTTCCATTCCCTAAAGTATACTTTCTGGTCTTTATCCCATTATGACGATAAGAGTTTAGATACAAGTTAAAGTTCAACGTGACAGAGGGGACTCCCTGTCCGAGTTCCACATAGTGCTGCTCGGCTGTCCTCCCTGATCACGTTCCTGACCGTAGGGGACAGAGGGCATGATGAACAGAGAGGCCTGTGGGGGCTGCTCCTAACCCATGCTGCTGTGAGCGGCCGTCTGCTCACCTCTGACCCCACGTACAACAGAGCAGAACGTTGTCCAGTCGTGCACGGGAATCCGTTGTGGTGTCTGTGATGGAGCGCCTTCCAGTGTCGGCGACCCAGACGATAGTCTGTTCTCAAGTATGGAGTTAAGATTCTCACCACTGGGCTGATTGGAGGCATCATGATGGATGATGAAGAGATTGAGATTGTTCACAGCTTCAGTTTACTTGGCTCTACAGTCAACACTCTTGGTACCAGCAGCCAGGAAATTAAAAGACGAATTGCGATGGGAAAGTCTGCTGTCAGAGACCTCTCCAAAGTACTGAAGAGCAACAATGTCAGTCTGGAGACTAAGGTGTACCTGATCCAGGCTATGGTCTTTGCATCAGAGAACTGGACAGTGACTAGGGATGATAGAACGAGAGTTAATGCCTTTGAGCTTTGGTGCTGGAGAAGAATATTGAATATACCATGGACTGCTAGGAAAACAAACAAGTTTGTCCTGGAGAGGGTGAAACCATGCTGCTCCTTGGAGGCAAGGATTCTGAAGCTCAGTCTGACATACACTGGACATGTTGCAAGCAGGGACCAGTCCTTGGAGAGGGATGTCATGCTTGGGAGGGTGGAGGGACGGCACAGGAGAGGAAGATCCTCGATGAGATGGATTGATTCTGTCACTGGGGTAATGGGGATAAGCGTGTCAGAGACAATAAGATTGGCAAGGGATAGAGCAGGGTTTAGGGCTGTTGTACATAGGGTCGCTATGAGTTGCAGGCGACTCGTCGACACATAACAACAATTATCTGCAGACACTGTTCACAAGGCCTTTCTTCCTAGTGTATCTTACCCCGAAATCTTTGCTGAAAACCTGTCCACCTGAGTGACTCTGCTGGCATTTGAAAGATCGGTGGCATAGCTGCCAGCATCACAGTGACAAGTCAGCTGCCAGTGTGACACTGACAGACGGTGGTGGACCCTTCTCAAGTGCACATTAATCCACTGTCATTGGCTGGGCACCAGCCATAGTGGGTAAGTCCCTCCAAGTGCACCATCAACTTGCCTGGGTATCTCCAGAGCTGCCTGTGGCTCCATTAGACCTTGGCACAGGACAAGACTGGGCTTTCAAGATTTTCCAGGAGAAGATGTAGTGCACAACCAGCCTGCTTCAGAGGTAAGCCCACAGTGGACACAGAAGGCCCGAGTCCCCTCTTCCAGCTGGTCTGATCTGTCCACAATGAGCCCATCACGTGACTGTGGGTTTCCAAAGCAACCTGGAGCCGGTCAGTCCTGTGGAGAAGGCAGGGATAGCTAGAGAATCCATCGAAGGTTCTGGAAAGCAGATGCCACCACACAGTGCCCAGCTCCTTTTCAGGGACAGTTCACTGCAGCCCTGCCCCCGGGACCCTGCCTGTCGGGCTTCAGGTGGTTCAGACTTTGAGGTCAAGCTGGATTAGCTGCATTGATTCTGAAAGCTAAGTTGCATGAAATCAAGGACATTGGATAGTTAGGGTGGCTTCTATGTCCCAGCACGTGGACAGTGCAGATATTTATTGAAAGAACGAAAAGGCCATTGGAGAAGCGAGTCGTCCTGAGCAGATTTAAGACTAAGCAAAGATTAGAAAAATGCTGAAGCTAAGCTTCGTGGTTGTAAAGTCACTATCCTTTTTGACCATCACCAAGGCTCGTACATTAGAAGAAGTGAGTCCCCCTCGTTCAAAATAACAATGGGAGGGAGCTCTGGTGGCCTAGTGGCAAGAAGCTGTACTGCAATCCCAGAGGTATGTGTTTCAAATCCACCATATGCTATGCTGGAGGAGGAACAATCTCCTCCTGTACCAGTCAGATCCGATTTGATGGTACACACATAAAAAGTAATAAATTTTTTTAAAAATTTGTAAAAACCCAACAAAGTAACAATGGTGACCACGTCCACCCCAGCAGGAGTCATGTGCTCACATCATCATACAGCATCACACAGCCCTGCAGAGCAGGGGTGAGCGCTGTCTTTTATGTAGGCAGGGAAACCGAGGCTCAGAGAGGTTAAGGAAGCTGCCCCAGGTACAACAGCAGGAGGTACAAGCCTGGATTCTGGCACCTAAGCTTCAGAATTCAGGTCTCTGACACAGAGTTAAGCACTCCTCCTTGGTTCTGAAACAGCCTGAGCTGGGACATCACCGTCTCCTGCCACCCAGTGATGTCATCCTCTCTGCAGATCTTTCTAGAAGGACCTTCAGAGCCCAGTGATGAAACACTCAAGAAGACTAAACATTTCTTGATTTTTTGAATGCAGTTGGCAACACATACTGTAGTTTGGTGTTTGTTTTTTT